GTGATCAGGCAGGCAGGCAGAGTGATTAGGGGCAATCAGGCAGGCAGGCAAGTGGTTAGGTGTGATCAGGCAGGCAGGCAGAGTGATTAGGGGCAATCAGGCAGGCAGGCAAGTGGTTATGGCAATGAGGCAGGCAGGTAGAGTGGTTAGGGGCGATCAAGCAGGCAGGCAAGCGAGCGGTTAGGAGCCAGCAGTCCTGGATTGCAAGAGGGATGTCCAACTGCCACTGGGATCGGGCCTAAACTGGCAGTCAGACATCCCCCAAGGGGTCCCTGATTGGAGAGGGCGCAGGCTGGGCTGAGGGACACCCCCCTCCCCTCCATGCACGAATTTCGTGCACCAGGTGTTAATAAGAATAAATACAAATATGGGGCTGAAAGAAGTAGGGGAGTGAAGAAAGAAAGGTTAATTAATGGGGGAAAATGAGTATGTTTTAAATATATTTTATTGATTTTTTACAGAGAGAAAGGGAGAGGGATAAAGAGTCAGAAACATCGATCAGCTGCCTCCTGCACACTCCCTACTGGGGATGTGCTCGAAACCAAGGTACATGCCCTTGACTGGAATCGAACCCGGGACCCTTGAGTCCGCAGGCCGACGCTCTATCCACTGAGCCAAACCGGCCAGAGCAAAATGAGTACGTTTTAGGTAGACAGTGTTTGAGGGGCCACGGGCCCTCACTGAAAAGGCCCAGGAGGCTGGGAGCCAGCAGAGCGCCTCAGACTGCTCGGGGGCCAGGCCGGCTTTCCACCCAGCGGTGGGTAACCCTGGGCAAACGGTTTAATGCCTGGGCCTCGGGCTCCTCATCTGTAAATTGGGGAGAGTACCTCCATGGGGTTACAGGGAGGATTGGATGAGTTAAGGCCTGGGAAGCTAGGAGCCTGGTGCCCAGCCAGCAGTGAGCATTCGGTGCCTGTCAGCTCTCATTCTTGGAGACGGAGGGGGTCGCTTTCCAGGGAGAAATCTAGGCTATTGAGCATTTAACACGCGTTCTTTCATCCATAGGTTACAAGTGTCA